CTTAATTAAACATTATTAATAAATAAAACTTACAGTTTTTGCGATACAACATGCGTCGCAGGAGTTCCTTTCGCCAACGTGATATAAGATAATCCCACCGTATCCCCCTATTTTGCGTGCGGATCGAATATTGAACAATCGAAACAGCATATTCCGCGCACATGGGACGCGCGATCGAGGAGAATCATCTGAGGCTATCGCTGATAATCCCCTCTCGATCATGGACGGTATAAATCCGGCAGATTCGGCAGAAACGTCGTTTAATTAATGGTCAATACACCGTGGACCGTGGTGGGATTATGGCCGCTGGCGTTTGACGTTATGAAGTTGACGCAAGAGACGTAGAGACATGCGGGATCGGCCTGGATGTCGGCGGTGGTATATCGGTGGTATCGGCGTACGATAATGGTGCGTGCGCGCGGTTTTAAAAAAATTAATTGGATACGTTGGTGGAGCATGAAATGTGGAGTGGCGCGGTCGACGGCGGATATAATTTCCTCTCTCTAATTTAAAAGGATCCACATTTAATTTCGCACAGACAGTAACCAATTGCGATATACTTTTAACCAGTGGCCGAGCCGAAGAGGGATAGTGGTAAAAGGGACTGTGGCGCCAATCAACGTCGAAAATAAATTGTTCCTAATATATCATCGGCACGTACGGCCGCTACGGTAAAACCAACTAATTTATTTATTTGAATGCTTCTTGACAATCATTTTAAATTAAAAAAAATATCTTTAAAAACGTATCAAAAGCAATTATATTCTGAAACTTGTACCTTAGAATTCCTGCTCTATATTAACCATAAAATTTTACAAGAATTGTTTTATGTAGATAATAAAAATTATACCGAGTGCATTTTGTATAAAAGTCCATTCAAGTTATTCGAGCTTGCGAATTTTAAGGATAAAAGAAAGTTTGTAAACGTTAATACGGTTGCATTCTTTTATTTTAACAAAGAGACGAAAAAGCGAGCGAACCAGGGTAACCTTATATCTGCGTTACTTGAGACTACGTGCCGTGGTTTCCCTAAAATAATACGCTACATCCGCCTGCATGTAAGGTGTAATGCGTCTAATTTATAAAAATGGAGTCGACAGAAGATCGCGGGGGAAACTCTGCGACATTAATAGTGCATAATTTCACGAGGTATTAGAGATATAGCCTGTGCGCCAGATGCCGCTCTCCTAATATCCGGAATGGCGGCGCTGCGCTGGAGAAAAATTCATAAAATGAAAATTTTTAACGAAGAAAGATATCGGTAGACGAAAAACTTAATTACTTCAAATTAAAAAAATCGCAATTGTGCCCGCTTTTCGTCCTCTATTTAGATACCGCGGCAAGTTTAATTTTAATCGATATACGGGCCGCGGCGGCTATATATATTTCCAAGTATATTTCCACATTTCGAATTTCATTGGGAATTTTGTATGAGAGACAGTTTACATAATTACGCAAAGAGTATCCAATTTAATTAGTTCACACGTATCAATCATCGTAATATCGCTAAATTTGATAAATTTCAATAAACCAAAATTGCTCAATTATTATAAATTTATTACTCAGTTGTCATAAATTATTATGAAATTATCGTCCGTTAAAACGCGATAAACAATTATGTATTTTGTTTTTTAAATTCGCTTCGGTGATAAAATACGTACCGTGCGCCGAGAGAGAGAGAGAGAGAGAGAGAGAGAGAGAGAGAGAGAGAGAGAGAGAGAGAGAGAGAGATCGTGTGATTAACAGTGTGGATAGATGCGTTAATTTCTGACCTAAATTTTCCTTCAATATCTCTTATCTTCAAAATATAAAACACATAATGTCCATTTCTACCAATGCAGATTAATTTTAATATCAGTTTACTTACTTTTCATATCTTTCTACTTCTAAGAATTAGAAAAAGAAAGTTAAAAAGTAAGTTAAACCGCGAGATTAAAATAAATCTGCATTGGTAGAAATGGACGTAACTTGTATTTCATGTAATTATATATTCACTCTGTGAAAATAATTAGGTACCAGTGATTTGCGACATTTTCTTCTCCATTTTACCTCTCTATCAAGTTAATAGCCATGAAAGGTCTCATCCTAATTCACCGTACACGTGTCTAATCCGCCAGGCTCCGGCAACACCGAGAGGTGGATCGGTAACAGGGTAAACCGGGCGATTTCTCGGGGGGCGATTACCGCCAACTCGCGCTCGCACTAGCGAATAGGCGCGTAGCAGTCCCTCTTAGGAGATCCAGATGGTCCGTCCGGGACATAATTCAGGATTTCGCGTGCGCCGGTAACAGCGGCTGCCGTGGACCGTTGGCGTAGGATGCACGGAGATCTGAGCGAGGCTACGTACACGCATACGCGTGCACGTCGCGCGTCGGCGCATACAAAGGAGCGGATGAAAGGACCAGCGCGGCACGGCGAGGGCGAAAGGGAGATATGGTAGCTAGGTAATGTATGCAATTGGACCGGCGTGTATGGCAGACGGTTGTTGGCCGGTTATGGGCGGTGGTGTTCAGGGCGCAGCGGTGGTTCCCGTGGTCCGAGCGGAGAAACGACGGGAGGACAAGGAATATAGAGAAACATATGGATCATTGCGTACAATCGTAGAATCCCGCGTGACGCGGTTGCGTCGGATACTATACGGTGTTTAGTTTACGATAATACTTGCGCCGCGGTTTAAACGTCCGTCTCTATTTCTTTTTCTTGGTGCGTCGAATTAACTTGGCCGCGCCGCGTTGAACGCGCGGTCGAAACAACGCTAATCCAACGCGCGGTGGAGTTAGCCGGGCGAGTGGACGAAAATTAAAATGTGCACATTTCGCCCGCGGATAACGTTGCTTACGCGTGAATTTTAGTTTGTATTTCAGTGCTCTCTCCCCATTTTTTATACGTTGATCGCGACGTTATTGCAGCAGCCGAGAGACGTACACGGTTAATATAACGTTTAAAGCAACGTTTTAAAAAGAGGCTCGTAAGTAAAAGATTTCGAGCTATTTTACGTACCGAGGAAGAAGAACGAGTAGAGATTAACGTTATTTGTCATAAAAAAGCGAGATTGTGTTCTCTATAAAATAAATTCCCTGCGCATTTTAATCACATAACCGCGATTCTCGCGCGAAACACGCAGATTTTAAACATGCGACCTGAATACCAAAGTAAATTGCTAGGTCACTGTGGGACGCATAGATTTTAAGGCAAATCCCTGAAAAACGGATAATAAATTCTACGCAACCGTCGGTGACAACAAATTAGCAGCTTAGTCTCCGGGAAAGCAACGCAGACACGCGATGCAGACCGTTTTAATGTCATAGGATTAACATAACGTATATTATAAACTTTATCAGAGAGGTATTTGGCAGAGTTTTTAAATCTACTGCGACGAGAATACTGATCGTAAGTTTGCTGATATTCTGTAATAAAGATATAAATTCTCCATTTTTTTTCAAAATAATTATTACGTATTCAAATGTGTACGCAACATTGAAAGATAAGAAAGATTTTACTTAAGCGTTGCAAGTGGAATATATGTTTGTATGTTTGTTCCTTTAATGCTCGAAACGAATTCTGCGTACTGTCGGATTAAACAAACTTCGCACTACTTTGACTACAGCGCGGTAGTCTGCCCTTAATTCATTCGAAATTCAGCTTATCCGAATGCATCCGTTCGGAATGTGGACGCACGGTTTCCAGAGATCTCGGCTCCAGGTCCTTATAATTACTAGTCTTTGGAAGTTTAAGCGGTAGTTCCCTACCGACGTACCAGTCAGACCACCTGACGAACGCGCGCGGTTCGCCGAGTGACGAAGAACGGAGGAGGGGGAGAAACGAGAAAGGGAGAACGAAATATTTATCGCAGTCATTCCGTTCGGCAATACGATTAACTTCCGGATAGTCTACCTTGCTCCCGTGATTGTCTCACTATGTGGTTATATATTCGCGCTCTTGAAAACTATTCGCGTTTATAACATAAAAAAGAGGTTGGATTATTCTTGCACAGCATAAATCAACTCATATTTTTAAATTTTATATTTTACAGAATACACTGTTAAATTCGCAGTGTCAAATTATACTCAATTTGAGTCATTGTTGATCGTTCCTATAGGTTGCCACTGCTCCTACTGCTCCTATTCAATATGTTGTTAATTTAATTGAATGCTGTTTTGTGTTGAAATAATAATTTTGGCACATATGATATAGTTACACAAATAACAAAAAGTTTATTTAACTCAATTAAGGTATTGGTTTAAATTTTATCTTTTAATATTTAACAGCTAGTGTACGCTTTAGATTTGGATCATTATGAAATTAGCATTGACATTCGAGTTCTTAATTATAATGCAATAATATATATTATATATTATTTTTAATCAGAATATTAGGCCATTATTATCTGAATATCTACTCTTTAATATTTCTCATTCAAATGCGTAAAACTGTCAACTTTAAGTGACTTATTTCTTAACAGTAGGTTAAGTGGCGCGTAAGAAATTTTCGGAATACAGTTTCGAAATGTCGAAAGAAAGGAAGTAATCGCGGACAATGTGAATTTCAGGCACTTGTTGAACCGAGAGATCAATTAACTTGCAATTTACTTGCAAAGGGAGAGTCGTTATTACTACGAAAAAGCGCTCCTTCGTTAACGTTAATATTAAAGTTCACAGTCTATCGTTGAGAGTTTATTACCCTGGGCATCAGACATGCAAAGTCAGACATTGCCTATTCGTAAGATTGAGTTGGGGACAATTACATTGCGCTGCTGTAATCCTCATTTGCATGCATATGTTTTCGAGAAAAGCCGCGTCGTCAGAGCATAGTAATTATCACGCCATCAAAGATTTGCAGTAATTTTAATTAAGTAATATTTCATGATTAATTAACGTCCGTTTTTATCGTGCAACATTTCTTTTCACGTTGGCATTTAACGTAACGATAATAAACGCGCGCGCGTGCGCGCGCTTTCCATTATTTTTTACTTCATCAAAAATTTTTAAAGCATTACTTACCTTCTGGTAATTGAGAGCGAGTAACAAATACTTCCTGTCGGCGGATAAATGGTGGTCGAAGCTCGACAGTAAATCCTGAAAGCGCAAAATATTTTAAATCGTTTATAAACAAATGTCAGATTGCAATATAATTACATAGTTTTATGTTAAAATGCAAAACGCGCAACAAACAAAAATAGTAAAAGCACAGTGGACATAGGAATAAGTATAATGTTATTAGATGATTCAACAGGATTAATTAAAATTTAAAAAAATATAAATCGTTTGTTATAAACAAAGCTATAATTAGATTCAAAGGCCAAGGATGAGCATGTATATTTGGGTGTTAAGTATTAACTTATTCAATACCTAGACTAATTAAACATATCTAAACGTTTAAATTAAAAAGAGTTAAGATACATTTACTAGTATCCTGCAAATTACGCGATTTGTGTTTAATGTTAAATTCAGATCGTGCAAACAGATGCAGCCTCGCCTGCCTCGCCGATGTAGTTAAGCATTATAAAGTGAACGCGATCGTCGCTTGTTAAAAGTACAATACAGGAGTTTAGCCGCTATCTTTACAGGCCAACGTCGCGCGATAAAAAGACGGTGCATTAACTAGTTCCAGTAATAAGGAGTATAACGAAACCACGCATGAGTACAAAAGTCTCGCGCGCTCGCGTGTCAGGCCGCGCCGGTAATCGGCGTCGGCGAACGCGAGGTCGCGCTCGCTGCCCGACGCGGACGGCAAATCGCAGACCGAGCTTATCGCTTATTATGCTTGTAAAACGAGTCGTTAGTCGGAATGAAGCCGGAATGGACTGCATGCGAGACGACACGACGCGACGACCGCGCCGCGTCGAAAGTGCATGGCTTTGTGCTGCCGCGACGACCCGGAACGATTTGTCGAAATCGCGACGAGTAAATTACGATCACGTGCGCGACACGGATCGTCGGGGTTGTTGAATAAGCTATACGATGGCCTCTCGACTGATGGGATGACCGTCGTTAAGCGAAGTCGCGCGTTCGAACGAGAGACAATCGTTTCGAGTTGGTCGGTGGACGATCGGACTGGCGATCGTTCCACTTATTGTTAGCGATAGTCTGTCGCAATCATAATACGGTAACTGGCGGCCGACAACTGCAATTATTACTTTAATACGACAAAATTCGTATGATATATGGGTCACGTTTTTATGCGTTTTGGCCCTGCTGTTACTCAGATTAATTTGCATGTATTGTATTGAAATTCGAGCTTTAAGTCTCTAGAATTACTGTATATTCAGAAAATAAGTTAACTGCTCGTGTTCACGTTATATATAAACAGTAAGAAATTTTTTTTTCTATTCAGCTTCTTTTTAATTAATTAAAATTCTGTAATAATTGTTAATATTAAATAATAATATGTTTTCCAGAACATTAAATAAAAGAATGAACACGCTAGAACTGTTGCCCGGTCATTTCATGCCCTTTTCATTTCAATTCAAAACATTATTAATTTAATTTAGAAAAAAATAACAGCATATATCTATACAATAAAAAGAATTTATTTAATAAATTGTTTTGGTTAAACTTTCGTTAAAACCTTTTCAATAAAATATTTTATGTAATAAACTGTTATAATAAACCACTAAAATAAATTCTTATTTTGACTGTTCTAACTAGTATCTTTACTGATTTTTATGTACGTTTTTCAATAAATTTTTGAAAATAAAAAAAAAGAAAATCGGATATAATATTGACGCAGAGACAAAGTGACGCTGACAGTTTTATCATGTTACGTGGTAAAAGTTATTATTCTATTAGCAACTTTCCAAACTAATATTAAAGTATTCTGCTGGGACAGCTTGACACATACCTAATAAACTTGTTACTCTTAAACATGTAAAATTTTTATACGGGACGTGAAATAAAATGCAACTTTATACACTACTACCCAATATTCAGAATTCGTATTTTCTCACTGAAAAAAAGGTCCTTAATGCATGCAAGTAAAATCGTTTTTTCGTTGTTATTTTTTGAACATTGATATCGAAAATAGATATTGAAAAGACGATACAGGAAATATAAACGTACGTTAATATAATTTTTTTTACTTTGACGTAAAAAGCTAATTTCTGTAGTTTGCCTGAGTATTTTTAATATTCTACTTATTGTTAGTAAGAGAAAATTTCTAGATTCTCAAAGGCGGTCTTTGAGCGAGTGCATTGGATAATTGCATCGGTAAATCCCCTATATATATAATTCACTTGGAATGCATTCGCATCGAAGCAGTGAGTAGGCCGAATGCAATTGTCCAAATGTACTCACTCAAAGACTGCCCTCAATATATGTATATATATATACACACACACACACGCGAGTGAAGGTACACGGGTCATAAACTCCCTAATAGCTTTCAGACTAACAAGGAGAACGCCTCGATAAGACTGTTCTCCGTCGACACTGCACGGACTCGGACTGCGTTCGAAACACTCCCGTAAGATTTCGAGCAAAGCAGCAAATGCGGAAGACTTCATTTAACTCAAGAAAGGTAAGAAAGGGCGCAAGTTCGACGGTAAAAATAAAGTTTTGGAGCGTCGCACCGGTTAGCCGTTGCAATTTCTCTTTAGCGCTTCCCCCCTCCCCCTTTCTCGACTTGCTTAATTGAAAGAATCAGCTTACCTCCCCGCGCTTGCTGATTGCGACATCCCCGACGAGAGGGATGAGATTTTATTTTAAGAAATAGGGATCTTGTTCCGCCGCCATTTGTAAAAGTAGAGAAGAACGGATGAAATCAAACAGGTACTCTTTTTGTCAGAAAAAGAAGTATTAAATATAATCGCTACACTTGACAACGTTTTTATTAAGGAGCACTGTTATAATTGTAGTGTTAAATTAGACTCAATTTGAGTCATTTTTAACCATTTCTAAATCACCACTGCTCCTACTCAATATGTCGTTAATTTAACTAAATCAATGAAGTTAAAATAATACTGTTTTGTGTTAAAGTAATATAAATTTCGACACATATGATAGTTTAATGAGTAAGTATTCGACGATTTCTTTGATCTGCCGATATGTCCTTTAATTTTCAAATCGTTAAAAAAATATTTAATAACATTGCCAAAAATTTTCAGTAACAAACATTTTTGGTAAATTGAAGTAATAATATATCAAGAGTGTATGACAAATAGTCTTGCGTAACGATACATTCCGTAAATACGGACTTGGACTTTCCTCCGACGGAGACATCTCACAATGTTAAATTTCGCGGAGATAGGCATCGCATTACAGATGTCGTAATGAATCATTTTCCAACGGTTAGCCGGCTATGGATATCTACCGCGCGTACGAATGAGAATCGTTGACGATAGATTGCACGCGTCAGAACGTGAAAGATAACAAGCAATTACCGTTCCAGGGATCTCTTCGACGGCGCGGCGTGTCGTGGGGGAGTATAACGAGTGGGCGCAATGCAATGCTCGGCGTGTGCGTTACATTACGCCTCTCGTTCCCCTGCACCGCGTCGTGAAATAATATTTCGGCCCCTCTTTCCGATTACGGCCGTTTCGCTGCTTTCGCATTCGATCCGCACGCGCGGCTTCCGCTTTTTCGTATGTCCGTATATATACACGCTCGCTCGCGGCCAGCCCGGCGGACGATTTAATTGATCACGCACGAATATGAATTAGAGGCGGGAAAGAAAACCGGGGGGAGGGAGGTGGAGAGAGGGAGGCGGGAAATAGGGGACACGCATATGTGAGATATGGTGCTTTTGCTTTCGTTGCGCACGGGGTATTTCGGTGATCGTTATCCGCGATTTCGGAAGTGACGCGCGCACCGGGGCGCGCGCGATGGCGAGTCCCCCCGACAATTAATTCGTACCGACTATATAGCGACTATTCATACCGTGATTTCTATTTAATCGCGCGCACGACTATTTAATGCGACAATAATCGCGCATACGTTAACGCGCGCGTATTCGCGAAAATATTTACGCACACTTTCCATGGGACATCGGCTCGTACCCAGAGTACACATTTTACAATAATTAATTATCACCGATAACACAGTGACACATTTCACATTTTACATTATTAATGCTAATGGTATATTGATACGCGTATAATTAACATTGTATATATTGTTTTCTTTGTTTAATTAATGCCGAATTGATATCTGCAGTCTTGTTTACGCTTCAACATTAATTTAATATAAATCTTAATTTAATGCTCTGTGCCGTCACTGCGTTTTACTTGTAACTTATATTAATATTAATATTATTCGTAGAGAAGGGAGAGCAGAAGGAGGAGAAGGGGGCTGTGATAACCCCTGAGTAAAATAACTGATAATTCTGGGATTCTCATTACGGGGTGGAACGAGCGAAGGATTTCATGCAAACTTTCTCGGAGTCCCCCGCGAGAGCTTTTCATACAACGTGCAGAAGTTTAACAAAACTTACAGGATTGCTGGAGTCCAACAGGATCTTGGATGCGGCCGAGCTGACATTGTAGATCAACAAATTGCCTATCTCGTCACGGTAGAGGATCTCGTCTCCTGCAACAAAAAAGGACACACGTTAGCGGGAATTGAATTTTAAATTAATACGTCCGCGCGCGCGACGTAGGTATAATATCCCCTTATCGTACACGTTTCGTTATTTCACAAGCCGCGCTACATTGCACAGCCGCCGCGATTAAATCCATGCACGCATTTAAGCGTCTTTCTTCGCGCGGAATCTCATTTTGTCGTGAATTATAACGAAGTTTTCCCGCGTGCTTTTACGTTTGTTCCAAAGCATCAAAAAATGATCAATTATACTTTCCTAAAGTGCGTTACAAGATTCATCTATTTAAAAACAGTTAAACTGAATAAAATTATCGCGATTGCGAAACAATTGTTTGTCAATCTGGTAAAAAAATCTAAAATAAGCGTGTATCGCAATTGCGATAGATTAATAATAATTTTATTAATTAAAAAAATGCAAATAATTTTTGTAGTCACTTCACTGCAAATTCAAGTGTGTTATTTTATCTGAAGCTTTTCTTACACATTTTTTTGCCGTTTTAAATTACGTCATTTAACACGACTGAATGTATTAATACGATTAAACGTGTAAATTTAATACGCAACGTGTTAAAACATGTAAAACAAGATTCAGTCAAATGTATCATTTTAAACGTGTAGAAATAACACACTTGGATTTACAGTGTTCTCTCACATTTTTCTCTTCTTTCATAAAAAAAATTCCTTACTGCTTCGAAAATTCTTTAAAAAAATTTCGTTTTTCGTTAACTGACAAGAGATTTCTCAAACAGTCGTAGCACTATTCTCCGTTAGATCGTGCAGAGATGGAATTTGTCCGGGTATAATGATTGATTAATTGCTTCCATATCGCTCGCCTTTGTTCGTCTTTCGTGTGAGGAAAAATAGGCGGCGTGCAGTTTTCTTCGAAAACGATAGAAGGTGCGAAGAAAGAGATTTAGGAAGAGAAAGAGAAAAAAGGTAGGATGTGAAGGTGAGACGGACGAGTGAATTTTGGAGACGAGAGCTTGTCCTTCTCGAAAATCGATTTTTCCGAACCGACAGTACGCCGTTTCATCAATCTTAGCAGAACTGGCATCGTAAAAATCCTCGGAATAAGAAGCGTTGAGTTAGGTCGTGATAGGCCATGAGTAAGAAATATTTTTATCGTTATCGAAGAGGCAGAAAGGCAGCGAAAGAAACAAAGAAAACTAGTGGTAAAGAAGGAGATAGAAAAAAGAGCGATAAAGAAAAGGAAAAAACTTGGAAATATTTTCCTTCAATTGTCCAGCGATCAATAATACAGCGACTTATATAAAATTAACAATGATTAATTTCCGGCGGTGTTACTGTTCTAAGAGATAGCTCTGTTTCAATTTAACAAGCTATGCTCTTTCCGAGAAAATTGTGAAGAAATGGAAGAAGGTGACAAGGTGCATAAAACTGAAGAAATGGTATATATGGATTGTCTCGTTGAGAATGAGTTCAAATATGATAAATAATAGATGACCGTTTATAACGTTTACTCCCTCAGTACTATTTTCTCTAGCGGAAAATATTTCATTATTTTATTCGCACACAGAAAATTATTTTTCCGGTGTAAACCTGGCACCAGACTTTAACAAAAAAAAATGTTCTAACAGTAAGTTTGTATTTCATTTGTACCGGTTTGTATCACCCTTTGTTTTGTTTATACCTCAATAGTTTATAAAATATAAAATATAAATTAAAAAATAGCCAACACTAAAAGATATTTCAATTTTAATAAGACCATTCGGAAGAGCATTGTTTTTACCTATTTGTATCACCGTTTTAGTCGTTCGCATCTTAAGAGTTCCGGAAGTACAACATTTTCAAAATATCTCCAAGAAGCAACCTTGCCATTTCTTGAGATACTCTCTGAAAACGACCAACGCCATTCAAAAGAGCTCCGTTAGTACCCGTTTGTATCTCTTTTCAAATTGTTTGTGTCTCAAAAGGACCGGGGGTTTTCAGGCTTTTTGAAATACGTTCAAGAGGTAAGTTTCGCCAATTTTTGAGATATGTTAACATGGTGAATGGTATTCGAAAGAGCATTGGTTGTACTCATTTGTACCTCTTCCAAAATGGTTTGTACTTTAAAGAGGCCGGAAATACAGGCTTTTCAAACTCAAACAATGGCAAAATTACCTTCTAGACGTACTTTAAAAAGTATGTACTTCTGACCCCTTTGAGATGTAAACGATTTAAAAGGAGGTACGAACGGGTACAAACGCTCTTTCGAGTGCCGTTGGCCGTCTTGAGATATCTCAAAAAATGGCGAATTGCCTCTTATAATTAGACATATTTTGAAAATGCTATACTTCCGAAACCCTTAAAGTACAAATTGGGATATTTTTTAGTCGGAGATGCTGTCTATTTTTTAACTCTTTTACATTTTATAAACTATTAAGGTATAAACAAAGGTATAAACAAAGAGTGATACAAACAAGTACAAACGAAATACAAACTTACTGTTATTGAGATTTATTTTCGTTAAAGTCAGGTGCCAGGTTCACAGCGGTAATTATGCGTACGCTTCATACTCTCACAATTTTCACAATTTTTACAATTTTCACAATTATTTCGTTTGCCTAAAAATATGAGCAATAAAAAATGTAATTGCGCTGATAATTTAAGAAAGTGGAAACAATGCTGTTTCATAATATCGAACAGACGCGCCTTTTTTTAATGCGATAGGTCTGCAATGTCTGCATGTTGCAGGTTGCAGTATAAACTTCGTTCCACTTAACGCTGGTTGTTCGCTCGACTGCATGATAAACAAGAAGTGGCATGTATCGCAGAACGAATATACAGCTTCGACAGACTCAACACAGAGAACTACATCAACGTATGGTCCGGTAGCAGAACCGGCTTTTCGACGGCAGAAATTTTCCGACGGCAAAATTCGGTTTTTCAAAAAGGTTCACGCATTAAAACCGATTATACCTTAAAGTAATTTGATCTCTTGTATAACAAGCAAGTGAAATGAACAAGAAGATCGTTCCGGCTTTACGGGGCGATTCGCAGCAAGCTATTGAATTTTTGGATTTATAAGATATATATATATATATATATATATCTTTTTGGATACATATTTTCAAAGATACATTTATCAGCTGTATCTGTTTAAGCTCAATTGCGGCGAATTTCCTGAGCAAATGTTATGAACAATAAAGGGATTATCAAAACATTCGGATTTATTAGATGTAATGTTTTGAAAAGATGCAAAAAAAAATGGATTTAATTGACAATAATAATATAAAAAAATAGCTATAAAATTTCAAATCTAAAATAGGTTTGCTCACGTATGTATATCAAATCATTTACGAGTAGTACCTCGAACAAATAACTTTCATTAATAAATGAAATAAATTAATACTCGAAAAACAATACCTGCTGGATTTTTTGAAAGACTAATTATAAAGGAGTGATGAAAATTTAAAGTCGTCAATATGTGATATAGACGATATAGACGAATATACGACCGCGTTTAAAAAACTTTAAATAAAATTTTTAATTTTTATATAATTTATTCATTTTAACATCTTATTTAAACCAGTTTTATGAAACAGCAAAAGGTTGATTTAAAATGTCAGAGAGAGCACATGTTCGGCAATATGGTGCCACGAGCATTAAAACACGACATTATCAGTATCAGAGGCAGATTAATTAACAAAGTTTTCCAACGATGTGGATGCGGTTGAAACTCGTTGCTTATTCTTTCACGTTAGGACAGCGCGTAAAACTGTTTCCTGTATCATATTTTACGACTTGGCCAACCTGCCCCGAACGCCACGAGCAAACATTTTGACATTTTACGAATACCAAAAGTGAGGTTATAGTTTTAAAAACAATGATGATTTAGAAAGCCTATGGAATGCTCTTTGAAATATGTATATTCTCCATTAATTGTAACAACAAGTACATTCAATAACCATAACAGTTTTTTACTGTATATATTTACTCACCACTCTCGAAAAGAAACAAATTGCGATTTTGCCAAAACGACGCAGCATAAATGAAGTCACGTATAATACAGTCACGTATTTATCTTTCACTAACACACTTAATTTCGTAGAGAGAGCGCCACCTGTCACTTTATCATTTTTAAACAGCCAGTCGGCCAACCTGCCCCGCGATCAACCAGCCCCCCTCTCCCCTATTTATTTTCCAAAATCGACGAATCTCTTAAGAATACTTGTATATAAAGATAACTAAATTTCTTCTCGAAAAGCTTCAGACAATTGCAAGATATTCCGCGGAGATATTGTAATACGACGCCGCTGCCATTTGCTTTTGCTTTTATGTTGCTCATGAAGATGCGAAGATAAACATTCATAAAAACAAGGTTATCAACCACAAGAAGCTAAAGGTACAATAGATATGGTTGAGAAAACAATGTTTATGTCCTTGTGACCTAACTATCACAATGGCGAAAAAGGTAAAGTTATACGATACAAAAATTTCAAATTTTACAACACAAATAATCGATTATTTTTAAGTCAAAGGCTAAAAATGTTTCTATATCTTTCTCTCTCTCTCGCACAATAACGTGTTTCAAAAATTGCTATTCTAATATATTATTTGTTTAATTATTTTAAATTAAATAATGACACAAGTAAAATGAATAAAAAGGAGTTTTATTTTATTGCGTCGTCTTTTAATTATAATTTTAGTAAATTAAAAAATAATATGTATTTTTATATAAACGACACTGCCGAATTTTGTTGAAATATCAAGAATATGATAATTTTATTTCATATTTTAAAAAATAATAAATATAATATTTACATGCCTAATATTATATGAATGATATATTCCAAATGATTTTGATTGGAAAAAAATGCCTGATGGAAATCTCCGACAATTATATACATATAGGTATATATGTGTGTGTGTGTGTGCATAAGATTTGCACATAATTTTCATTTCTAACATTTACTGGCTTCATCTCTTTCGTTAATTTTAAACGTGCGTAAAACGTTGATTTTGGCTTTTCCGCGCAATTAATTACAGCTGTTT